CACCTCCAGGTATGACGACAGGTACCACTACCAGGACCACTGTGGCAGAAGTCAATCAGTCAGTCAGTCAGTCAGTTCACCTTCAACCTCTACTGACGGTGGTGAGATGAGATAACCTCCCAGCGCTGCAATAGTACTCCCGTAGTGGCTGTGAGTGTCTGTGACTGTCACCTGGAATATACTACACTACAGCCAACGACATATTAATACTGTTGGTCCGCTAGTGATAGAAAAAAGAAAAAGAGAGAGAGAGAGAGAGAGAGAGAGAGAGTCCAGTACACTTCCCAATACCACCGTCAGGAACACACCTTCGTCTGTCTCCTCCAGGGGGCCAGGTAGTGTGTCAACAGTATATCAGAGTTAATTAAAAATGAACTGTGAGCTAATGAACAGTTTTATCAACATCATCATTTACATAACACCAGGAATATCTGAAATATTTTTAGCTCAAACAACATTCAAAACAGACACACAGGGGAGGGAGGAAGGGAAGGAAGGGAGGGAGGAGGAGGAAGGGAGGGAGGGAGGGAGGGGGAGGTGTTAGTTCGACCAGCTCGATGTTATTGTGGTTCCTGATGATCTAAGCCTTGTGTTCTGTACTGTACACTTTGTATTGATTATAACAACTGTACCTTAGTGTTGTGTGTGTGTGTGTGTGTGTGTGTGTGTGTGTGTGTGTGTGTGTGTGTGTGCTGTTGTTGTGTGTGTGTGTGTGTGTGTGGTGTACATATTCCTCTCGTGTAGTGAGTGACAGCAGCCATAACTCACTTGGTTCTCGTTGACAGTAAAGTGTTGATGATGATTACAGAGGCTGAGTGAGGTGTGGGGAGTGTGGTGTGAGGGTGTGGTGTGAGGGTGTGGTGTGAGGGAGTGTGGTGTGAGGGAGTGGTGTGAGGGGTGAGGTGTGAGGGAGGGAGGTGGAGGGGGAGTGAGGTGTGAGGGAGTGAGGTGTGAGGGAGGGAGGTGTGAGGAGGTGTGGTGTGAGGGTGTGGTGTGAGGGGTGTGGTGGGGTGGGGTGTGAGGGAGTGAGGTGTGAGGGTGTGGTGTGAGGAGTGTGGTGTGAGGAGTGAGGTGTGAGGGAGTGTGGTGTGAGGGAGTGAGGTGAGGGGTGTGGTGTGAGGGAGTGTGGTGTGAGGGAGTGGGGTGTGAGGGAGTGGGGTGTGAGGGTAGGGGTGTGAGGGAGTGGGGTGTGAGGGAGGAGGAGGTGTGGGGAGTGGGGTGTGAGGAGTGGGGTGTGAGGGGAGGGAGTGAAGGAGTGTGGTGAGGGAGTGTGGTGTGAGGGAGGTGGGGTGTGAGGGAGTGAGGTGTGAGGGAGTGCAGTGTGAGGGAGTGAGGTGTGAGGGGGTGTGGTGTGAGGAGGTGGTGTGAGGGAGTGAGGTGTGAGGGCCTCCACACTAAGTAACACCTTCCACTAACTGGTGTGTTGGTAGGCGGAGAGGGAAGAGAGGGAGGGAGAGAAGGAGGGAGGGAGGAGGAAGAGGAAGAGAAGGAGGAAGGGAGGAAGATACTGTAGGAAGGGAAGAGAAGGAGGGAGGGAGGGGAAGGGGAGAGTGAAGGAGGGAAGGGAAACGAGACAGGGAGGGAGGGGCGTCTCACATTACTGTATTAAGGTGATGTACACAAAATTCCACCTTACACACACACACACACACACACCCCGCCCACACACGCCCACACACGCCCATACACTCAATCTCTACACTATTGCCGTGGGTTGTCACACTCACCACTGTTAACGTGGACAGAAACAGAGGCGGTGGGGGCGTTGACGGGGAGACAGGTGTAGTTGCCGGAGTCAGAGGTGGTGACGGACGACAAGAGTAGCCTTGACGTGGTCTGTTCTCCCGTCTTCTCCACCTAGAAATTGTTTATTATTTTACCACGATTATTTTTTTACGAATCTTTAAATATATAATGTCTGACTGTTGTGTGTGTGTGTGTGTGTGTGTGTGTGTGTGTGTGTGTGTGTGTGTGTATGTACCCTTATCAGGTGACCAACAGGTGTGAGTGAGAGACAGAGAGAGAGAGAGAGAGAGAGAGAGAGAGAGAGAGAGAAGAGAGAGAGAGAGAGAGATACACATATACATCATATTTAAAGACAACATCATCATCACTACAGCACATACTATCCTTTCCCAGGTTTAATATATCCTGTAAGTAATAGGTGTATGAAGTATTATTTAATCCTAGTTAATCTCTACTGCAGTTGTTGATAAAAGATATTAAAATATGTCAGGGTTTAATGGTCTCTTATGGCCTACTTTGTTAAGGGGATTTTAAACACACACAAACACACACACACACACACACATAAAACTCTTATTTTCACAAATTTTAATAAGTATTAATTAAAAAAAATAGACCTCACACCGTTGCCACAATATACTATACAATACAGAGATTACCTTAAGATTACCTACCTGGGCTTATTACACCTCAACGCTAACCTAACTTAACCCAACCTAACTTAACCCAACCAAACTTAACCCAACCAAACATAACCCAACCTAACTTAACCCAACCAAACTTAACCCAACCTAACTTAACCCAACCAAACTTAACCCAACCAAACATAACCCAACCAAACTTAACCCAACCAAACATAACCCAACCTAACTTAACCCAACCAAACTTAACCCAACCAAACTTAACCCAACCAAACTTAACCCAACCAAACTTAACCTAACCTAACTTAACCCAACCTAACCAAACCTTCAGGTACTTAGCATCTGTTTGTACTCCTTCATTTTTTCTATACATTTTACATTTATTTTCACTACATTTTCCTTTATAAAGATGAATAATAATTAATAAATGTTATCTGTGTTGTTCCTTGGTATCTCATTCTCTCTCATACATTATTCTATACACTTTTTTTATTATTAATTATCTAGTTATTCATGTGTGTGTGTGTGTGTGTGTGTGTGTGTGTGTGTGCGTTTCTGAGTTCAGCACAATGTAAAAAAAAACCAATAAACTCTACGGACATTGTGTGTGTGTGTGTGTGTGTGTGTGTGTGTGTGCGTTTCTGAGTTCAGCACAATGTAAAAAAAAACCAATAAACTCTACGGACATTACCACCCATGTTTCACTTACTAATTCTCTCTCTCTCTCTCTCTCTCTCTCTCTCTCTCTCTCTCTCTCATCTGTTACATGCAGTAGTTGTTTATCCATTCTTTATTCTCAATTGCCATTTCCCGTTCCTTCTCTTTGTATTCTCTCCCTATTATGTACTACAGAGCTTTAATAAGACTACATAAATCACATTACTACAGTGATAGTAAGGGAGTGAACTTGGGATTATGTTTGACGCCGGGGTTAAATCTATTTACCTTAATGTCATTATTACTTAGGCTCGTTTCCCACCCCACTCACCCTCTGAGGGGCTACGCGGCTACTCTTAATTCTATTATTTTCGGCTCGACTGGGGAAGAAACTAAATGCCAAACAGTACCCTTTGTGTGTCTATTTTATTTTATATTAATTCTAACTCAATATGTTTCTTTTTTTCCGTTTTTTTCCCAATTTGCTATGAGTGCTCTGTTCTTGTTTTTTCCCCGCGCTCGCTCTCAGGGGACCCGAACCTATTCTAATTATCTTGTTTTCGTTACTAAGGAAGAGTGAACGAGCATTCTCCGCGACCTCACCTGTTTTATTGACTTATTTTTCGGAGTTAAACTTGTTTTTTAATATTCTTTTTCAAGTACCTTAATTAATATAATTCCAGCTTTCACGCGAGTGGACACGGATGAATAACTAATATTACCTCCACGGTATCATTTTTTTTTCTGAAGAATATATTTGTTTCTGCTTATTTTGATGTGATTTCCCCCTGTTGTCGCATCAAGGGGGACACGAACCTATTCTAATTGTCATATTTTCTCGACCAATTAAAACTAACTTTATCGTAAACAGGATTAATTCTTTGTAAATTTACTGTACAATATTTATTTTCACGAATAACATGTAAATTTAACTTTCCTACGCAAGTTAAATCAGTTAATATTTTTCTGTAAATATTATCCCATTCTGTCGTCACAAGGGGATGCGTGACTATTCTTATTATGTCTAATTATCCAGATGAATGAAGACTAAATTGACTTTCATTACAAATTATACAGTTTTATATCATTTCTTTCGTGTTATTCTCTACGGCATATTTCTTTCATTTTTCTTTTCAAACCTCGAGGTATACGTGACTTTTATATTTACCTTGCACAAAAAAACATTAATATTACTGTTTTAAATCATTCCTCTTCAAAATTAAATACTTATTCCCGTTTTCTTTTCAAGTTTAATTTGTTTTTGTATGAGCGTTTTTCCTCACCGCCACAGAGGGGACACGAACCTATTATTAACGCCTTTTATTTCCACCCGCGAATACAAAGGAACGGTGAAAATTCATGACCACATTTTTACTGTTTTACTTAATATCTTTCCCCCACCTTTTTTTCTGAATTAGATTTTTATTTCGGAGTTAATCTGTTCACTCGGTAAATCTTTTGGGCTCGTTGTCGCCTTCTCTGGGGGAAGTGTATTCCTGAGTTTCCCTCTGAAGTTTACGTCACGGTTTACACTTGAGAGTTCCCTATAGGTTTACACTTGAGAGTTCCCTATAGGTTTACATTTGAGAGTTCCCTATAGGTTTACATTTGAGAGTTCCCTATAGGTTTACACTTGAGAGTTCCCTATAGGTTTACTTCTGAGAGTTCCCTATAGGTTTACTTCTGAGAGTTTTCCTTGGAGATTTACGCCGTAGTTTACACCCGAGAGACGATTCTAGGTGCATTAGAGCGATAAAGATGGTTGCCATAGAGTCAGTAATGAGACGGTTTATTATGCAAATGAGGAAGAGTTTGAGATAATTAGCCGCCGGAGAGAGAGAGAGAGAGAGAGAGAGAGAGAGAGAGAGAGAGAGAGAGAGAGAGAGAGAGAGAGAGAGAGAGAGAATAGGCATTAACAAAACTTCATCATACAATACAGAATATAAATACCTTTAAAAATATATATATAAATATCAATATAATTTTCTTCTCTGTCTGTTTATCACGACGGAAATATTTGGTTCAATTTTCTTGTGAACGTTAATGTGTTTATTATGGAAAGGAGTTTGCCGCCACCAGGCCAGGGAATACGTGACTATAACAATTGTCTTATTTACACTTCCAGTACACACGAAATTAATTAAAAAAAACACACAACATTCTTACTTTTATATTATCTTTCTTAATAAAATGTTCATCGGTATTTTTATTTGAGCTTTAATTTATATACTGTAAAGTCCTCGCTCTAGCAGGGGTTGCAGGGCTATTCCATAATTCTTGTGTTTTCTAGTACTCTTGCAAATAAACTCAGTATTCGCTTTATTTACTGATTTATTTTACTTCTCTCTCGTTTTAAGTAATTTATAAACCTTGGTATCTTTATAATATATTATTTTTCCCAGGTTTCGAGGTCAGGGGATACGTAGCTATTTCAATTAAGCTAATTTCTCGACGGAATATAAATGAAGTCTTAACGCTATATTATTCTTACATCGTTTCTCAGAGTAAAATTTTGTTCCTGTTATATTCCAAAGCTTTAATATGTTCGTTATCAATATATTACTTCACCTTTAAAACAGCGGATGACGTGACTATTTCAATTTCTATATTTCCGCGACAGATGTAAAATAAATATATATTCTAAATATAATATTACTGGGTTTTAAAGTTAGCTACGTTTTATAACCTTAATATGTTTGTTATGTAAAGTATTTTTCCATTCTCGAAACAAAGGGATACGTGACTAACAATTACCATATTTAAACCTAAAGCTAGTCAAGACTTATTTTCCGTGTTTAATTTTATCTTTTCTTTTTTAGTTACAATATATATTTTCTTTCATTCCCCACATTCGTTTTCAGTACTTGAGCATTTTTTCAATATCATTTCGTTCTTTATAATGAATATTGCCATAAATGTTCGCTTCAACATTGTTCATTGGCATTATTCCCGTCTTCGCATCTATGGGGAAACGTGACTAACTAAATAACCATATTTTCCCGAATAAAAAAAAAAATAAAAATCATCTATTATTTTATTCTATCTAATTTCATTTTATTTTTCATGTTGTTCTTTTCAATTTTCTTTTAGGACTTAAATGTTTTTATTGTGTGCACGTTTCCCTCGCTGCTGTGGCTCCCGAGGGGCTCGGGTCTATTCCAATTCCTTCATTGTAGCGAATCGTGAAAAAACCAACTGAATACTGAAAACATTCTCTCCACTATTTTCCCCTCTAGAATATATTATTTCTCAGACTAAGAGCTTCCCTTTTGAGATTTCTTCTTGGAATATATCTGAAAAAAATAATTCTTTCAATCTATTTTAGTGTAGTTATAACATTACTGTATATTTATAAGTTTACTACTACTAAATAATAAGAATAATAATAATAAAAATGATAATAATAATAATAATAATAATAATAATAATAATAATAATAATAATAATAATAATAATAATAATAATAATAATAATAATAATAATAACCCACCCACCCACCTAACCCACCACCACCACCCACCAACCAACCCACCCACCCACCCACTAACTCACCTGGAGGGAAATGCCGCCCCTGGGAGAGTCATAATCGAGAACATGTTGGTCGTGGTACCAGAGAAGGGCGGTGGGCGGCTTCTTGGTGTGGGTAACGACACACACTAACGACAGAGACGACCCGGCCTGTAGGAACCTCTCCTTCCCTCCTAGGATGTACGTCCCATACTCCCCTGTGAGAGGTGAGAGGTGAGGTAAGTGAGAGGTGTGAGTGGGGTGGGGTGTGAGAGAGATGTACAACGGGAATATACATTTATATACAAATGCATACACACGTACATATAAAGTACACATACCTTGTCTACAAATGACTCCATAACCAGACTCTGTACCACAACATACACACATACACACATACACTGAACTCCAATAACATTTACATATATATACACGTAATATTACGGACTGACAGACAGACAGACAAGCAGACAGACTTACCATTTTCTTTGTTAGTTGGAGGCATTCTGTACAGCTGACCATCCAACACTCGCTTATCTGAGGAGATGAATAATAATAATAATAATAATAATAATAATAATAATAATTATAATAATTATAATAATAATAAAAATAATAATAATAATAATAATACTACTACTACTACTACTACTACTACTACTAATAATAATAATAATAATAACAATAATAATAAACAGAATATATATAATAACAATAATAATAATAATAATAATAATAATAACAATAATAATAGTAATAATAATAATAATAATAATAATAACAATAATAATAATAATAATAATAATAATAATAATAATAATAATAATAATAATAATAATAATAATAATAATAATAATAATAATAATAATAATAATAATAATAATAATAATAATAAACAGAATATATATAATAATTCCTTGCCATTATTTACGTCTCATAACACTGAGAAATAGTTAAGACTTATCGTTGAGTGTATAGGAGGGTAAAGGTAGTGAAATATGGCTGGATGTGACCGTAGAGTTTCGCTCGCTTGACTCGCTATATCAGAGACTGGAAGGTCTATGGACAGTACAGGATATAACGAGTCTAATTTATACTCAGTTATTTAATGATTTTAGTATTTGATGTTTTATAACCCAGAAATAAATTTATAATAATAATAATAATAAATAATAAATAATAATAATAATAATAATAATAATAATAATAATAATAATAATAATAATAATATAATAATAATAATAATAATAATAATATAATAATAATAATAATAATAATAATAATAATAATAATAATAATAATAATAATAATAATAATAATAAACTTCTATGTACGTCTATGTAAATATTCGTGTTTTCAGCTGGTGTTTATTATATCACTGTCTGTTTGTGTGTGTCTGTCTGTATTTTTCTGTTTATGTATGTCTCTCTCTCTCTCTCTCTCTCTCTCTCTCTCTCTCTCTCTCTCTCTCTCTCTTCCCCTTCAATTATTCACGTATCGCTTCTCTCGTATTCAATCCTCCTTTGCTATATATGTGTGTGTACTAACACACACACACACACACACACACAGACACACACACACACACACACACACACACACACACATACATCTGTGGACGTATTCAAACACAGAAAAGAGAGAGAGAGAGTCGTAATTCCTGATCACAATGAAGAGAGAGAGAGAGATAAAGAAATATCTCTCTGCCGTCTCTAAGTCTCTCATCTCTTATCCGATCGGGAATTTCTCAACCGTACACAGCATTTTTTCCAACCCATAGCTGGAATTCGATATTTTTCTCTCCTCTAGTTGGTCTTAAAAAAATTCTACACACGACTTCAATATAACCCGGAATTAATCGTTGTTTTATCATTAATGCTCCTAAGAATTCTGAAATATTTTTATCAGTGGTAGAATCAGAGAGTTTTTCAGTGGCATTTAATCGTATTTATTGGTATCGGGTTTTGAAATTTTTACCAACGGTGGAATTTGTTCTTCAGTGGAATTAGTTGATAAATTCCTGGTTTTTAGTTAGTTTAATGATGGATTAACTTGTATAATGAATTATTCTCTGTGGGATGTAGGTTTTAATTCTCTGTTGGAATTTAATTAGAATTCTAGAGATTTGATATTTACATTCTTGTATGATAAGGTATTTCAACTTAGAATCGATACGTGTACTTTTTTACTTACAAATCTGACAGGAAAATCAACTTATCTACTTTTTTACTTACAAATCTGACGAAAAAATCAACTTATCTACTTTTTTTTACTTACAAATCTGACGAAAAAAATCAACTTATCTACTTTTTTTTACTTACAAATCTGGCGAAAAAAATCAACGTATCTACTTTTTTTTACTTACAAATCTGACGAAAAAAAAATAAAAAATAAATCCCCTTGATTTTCACAAAGTAAATCCTCTTCTTTAAAAAACAAAACACAATTTATTCAACACCCGAATGCGTATCCGAAAGAAAAAACCTGTTCCAATATTTTTCTTATTTTTTTGACGCCATGTTCTTGTGAGGCAGGAATGCACTTTTAGAGGCTACAGTCAACGCCATCTGCCGGGGATGTGGTGTGAGGCAAGATTGTATTGTTATTGTATTATTTTTATGGTTTTGGGGGGGAGTGGAGGGGTTAGAGGAGGAGGTAAGGGTGAGGAGTGGGTTAGGGAGGGAGGAGGTAAGGGGAGGGGAGGGGGTTAGGGAGGGAAGGGTTAGGAGGAAGGAGAGGACCGGTGTAGCATCATGGTGCTTCCTTTGATTGCTGGAATGTACCTACGGTCCCTGGAACGTACCTACGGTCCCTGGAACGTACCTACAGACTCTTGAGCGTATCTACGGCCCCTAGAACGTACCTATGGCCCCTAGAACGTACCTACGGCCCCTGGAACGTACCTACGGTCCCTGGAACGTACCTACAGACTCTTGAGCGTACCTACGGGCCTGAACTACCTACCCTGAACGTACCTACGGACTCTTGAACGTGCCAACAAGCCCTGGAACGTACCACAGGCCCCTGAACCAACCTACAGACCCGAACCAACCTACAGGTCCTGGAACTAACCTACAGGCCCCGGGAACCAACCTGGTCCCGGAACCAACCTACAGGTCCTGGAACCAACACAGACCAACCTGCAGGTCCTGGAACCAACCTGGTCGTCCTGGAACTAACCTACAGGTCCTGGAAATCAACCTACAGGTCCTGGAACCAACCATGGGTCTCTGGAACCAACCTACAGGTCCTGGAACTAACCCACAGCCACTGGAACCAACCTACAGGTCCTGAACCAACCCAGGCCCTGAACCAACCTACGGCCCTGGAACTAACCTACAGGTCCTGAACCGCGTCCTGAACCAACCCTGACAGGCCCTGAACTAACCTACAGGTCCTGAACTAACCTACAGGCCCTGAACTAACCTACAGGCCCTGAACCAACCTACAGGCCTGGAACTAACCTACAGGCCCTGAACCAACCTACAGGCCCTGAACTAACCTACAGGCCCTGGAACTAACCTACAGGCCCCGAACTAACATACAGCCACTGGAACACATCCTCGGGGGCTTTGGTAGGGCGTTCGGGTACCAGTCATAAAAATGGCTACACGAGGGGTCCCAGACTCTAACCAAAACAACATTTTCTTTTCTCCAGCACAAACACAAACCTTAAGCCAAGATCTGTATATTTTAACTCACACTGAATATTTTTCCCATCGTTTTTAATATATTTCATAACTAATTTACTTCACTCTGGTATATTTCACATTTTTATCTCTCTCACCTCTAAATATTCTATAAATATCTACAAATTCTTGATATATTCGTATTTACACATTCATATATATAGAGAAATAGTGTAAAGATATATGTGTGTGTGTGTGTGTTAGTCTCTCGCTGTGGAGGAGTGACAGGGCAACAGAACACAGCTTTTACGGCACAGCGAGAAAAACAAATGAACAGCGTATTGTAGGAACGCTTTCATAAGACTTTCACTATAGTTAAAAATAATACATCAACCATTTATATATTTAACAACATTACTGACAAAAAAACAAAAACAAATACTTATTGAATTTATCATAATTATTACGGGTTTCTGAATCATATATATATATATATTTTATGAAGATATATAATTAATGTGTATATACTTGTTATAAAATATATATAATGTGCATAATGTGATTTTGTAAGAGGATTTTTACCTTATTTATCTTATGGATATTCAGGCAGACGACACAGCCAGAGAGAGAGAGAGAGAGAGAGAGAGAGAGAGAGAGAGAGAGACTCACCTGTAACAGTGAGGTAGACGTTTCTCACGATCTTGGGGTCTGAGTTCACCTGACACTTAGGGCCCCGGCGTCCTCGGCTGGGTGTACTGAGCCTGTAGCGTCCAGTCATCTGTCTTGGCACTGTGTAACACCTGTAGATATAAATACACTTGTAACCCCTGTAACACCTGCCCCGAGACTGTAACACCTAGATATAAATACCAACCCCTAACACCTGCCCCGGGACACTGTACACCTGTAGACAAATACACTTGCCCCTGAACACCTCCCCGGACACTGTAACACCTGTAATATAAATACACTTGTACCCCCTTAACACCCCGGACAAACACCTGTAGATATAAATACACTAACCCCTGTAACACCTCCCCGAGACTGAACCTATAACACCCACTAACACCTGCCGGAGACTGTAACACCTATAGATAAAACCCAACCCTGTAACACCTGCCCCGGGAGACTGAAACACCTGTAGAGTTATTCGGGGCATATTGTAATGTATATGAATAGAATGTTCTTTAATACATGGGGGCAACTATTATATGTATATGTTGACTAGGTGGCCATTATCACCTGATGTATCGTGGGGTCATTAACTCTGAACAAGGTAACTGTGGCAATGAGGTCCACTGTGTAATCTGTAATTGACTAATTTATATAAAAGCCAGAGACAATAGAGGTCACGGGTTGACCTAACCTCACCTTACCTGATATGACTTAATCTGACCCGACAATCCCAAACTATCAAGATTCCAATCAAAACACTGCTCTGGTAACCAACCAGGTAGTGAACAAGAAGGTGTGTGTGTGTGTGTGTGTGTGTGTGTGTGTGTGTGTGTGTGTGTGTGTGTGTGTGTGTGTGTGTGTGTGTGTGTGTGTGTGTGTGTGTGTGCGTGTGTGTGTGTGTGTGTGTGTGTGTGTGTGTGTGTGTGTGTGTGTGTGTGTCGTGTGTGTGTGTGTGTGTGCGTGTGTGTGTGTGTAAGTGTGTACAGGTAGTAGAACATCAAGCCAGGTATGAAGGACAGACCTGGGGACAAGAGTGACTGAGGTGTAGAGATAAAAGTAACTAAGGAGAAGGTAAGCGACAGGTGAAGCAACAAATAAGTGAACTGTCATGAGAAATCCTCGTGGCTGTGACCCGTGTAAGCCACAAAAATTGAAGCTACAGGAAGGAACAACACACCAGCCATGGTTAAAACACTGCCTTTGAGACCTGGCCTGATTAAGGTTGGTTTATTGAGAGGGTGTGGTAGGGTGTGGTAGGGTGTGGTAGGGTGTGAAGACTGACAGAGAGTGACTGACAGACAGGCAGACACTTCAAAGGTTCTTACATGAACTGAAATCAAGACTGAATCCATATCTGACAAGGGATTAAGGATAAGGACTTGAACTGACAGAGAACTTCCTACGATGTAAAGACTCACACACACACAAACACACACACACACACACACACACACACACACACACACCCCACCAAGACGAGGAATAAAGACCAAACAGGGAGATACAAGTAATTTGGCCAGAAGAGGAGGAACTTCCGTGGGTCACAGCTTAAAGACCCTATTGAAGAAAATACAATCAAGATAAAACACCATCTTTGTTTTGCCAAGTAGGGGAAGGTCGAGGTAAGCAGGGCAGTAGTAGCAGAGGCAGCACAGCAGAGGCAGTAGTAGCAGAGGTAGTAGTAGCAGAGGTAGTAGTAGCAGAGGCAGTAGCAGAGGCAGAAGCAGAGGCAGTAGTAGAAGATACAGCAGCTAAGCAGCAGCTAAGAGCTGTCCCACCAAACAACACAAAAAAACAAACACACACAAACAAACAAAACCAAAAACAACCACAAAACAAACAAAAAAAACACAAAACACCAAAAAACACAAACCACACACACACCACAGCACATATGCAATAGCAGCAAGAAAGATAAAGGCAGCAGCAAGACAGTAGTCACAAGCAGCAGCAGAGGCAAAGAAAGAAAGAGGCAGAAAGCAAGATACAGTAGCAGAAGAGGCAGTAGCAGAGGCAGTAAAAAAAAAGCAGAATTAAGATAGAAAGAAACCAGAGGCAGAGAACAGAGGCAGTACCAGAAGAGGGCAGTAGTAGCAAGACAGCAGAAGCAGAGGCAGCATCAGCAGAAGCAGAGCAGAGAGGCACTAGCAAGAGACAGTAGCAAGGCAGCAAAAAAAGAGGGCAGGAAGAAGATACAGCAGTAGCAGAGGCAGAAAGCAGCAGATAAGAAATAAAGCAGACAGCAAGACAAAGGCTAAGAGGCAGCAATGAAGAATACAGTAGTAAAGAGCAGTAGCAGTAAAGACAAGTAGCAGAAATAAGAGGCAGAAGAGTTATAAGCAGTAAAAACATGCGTTGTTGTTAAGACAAATGCAGCAAAAAACAAGCAGCACAGATAAGAGCAACAGCAGTTGCTATGATACAGCAGCAGTTAAGACAGCAGCAAAAGCACAAGATAAGCAGCAGTTAAGATGTGCTCATCAAGACAGCAGCAGCAAGATACAGCAGAAAATAAGATGCAGCACCAGCTAAGACCAGCAGCAGTTAAGAGACAGAGAATAAGAAAGGCAAAATTAAAGAGTCAAGTAAGTGAAACAAGAGCATAAATAAGACACAGCAGCAGTTAAGAGCAGCAGAAATAAGATGCAGCTGTAAATGCTACAGAAGCCATACACACTCAGATAAAGTGTTAAGCAAATGTTAAGATGCACACATGTTAAGATAACAGCAAAAATTAAGATGCTATAGCAGTTAAGAGTGCTAAGCAATAAACAAGAGCGCAGCAGCAGTTAAGTGAAGCAGCAGAAAGATAGTATAAATATACAGCAAAGAAAGATGCATCAAAGCAGACCAAAATAAACACAGCAATTAAGATGCAAGCAGCAGCGTTAAGATGCTACAGCTGTTAAGAGCGCTGCACATTAAGATGCTCACACAAGATAAGAAGAAAGATGCCATAGCAGTTAACATACAGAAGAAATATGCTAAAGCAGCCAAGAGCCAGCAGTTAAGATGCCACCACACATGCTAAGCAGCAAGACATCAGCCAAGATGCTGGGCACCAGCAATATGATGGCAACCACTAAGAGCAGCAGCAAGCCAAGATGCCATAGCCAAGCTAGCAGCAGCCATACAGCCAAGAGCCAGCAGAAGCAGAGTTACATACAGCAGCAATAGCTGCAATACAAGCAGGCAGCTATGCCAGTAGTAGCAGAGGCAAGGCAAAGAGGCAGTAGAAGCAGAGGCAGTAGTAGAAGAGGCAGTAGCAGCAGTAGAAGAAGATAAAGAGACGTCGCGGTGTATCAATGATAGTCTCAGGAGCAGCTATGAATACTTCCAGATAACTGTGGTGTCTTGAGGGGCTATTTAAGCTTTCAAGGGACTGAACACAGGCTGATAAGTGAGGGGAAGTGGTGATTGTGAGCAGTTGTGAGAGGTTCATGGGGACGTCGAGCTCAAGAAGCAGGATAACTAAGAATAAAACCCTATGATTATGATCCATCTTTTCTTCTATCTTTATTTCTCTTTATTACCCTGTTTGCCTCTATTTATTTCTTTATCTCTTTCATTCTCTTTCATCTGTCTCCCTTATCTCTATCTCAACTTTTAGCCCTGTCTTCTTCTCGTTACAACAACAACCCCCACACACACACACACACACACACACACACACACACACACACACACACACACACACACACACACACACACACTGTCTCTATGGTGGATGTGAATGGTAACCTGTAGAGGAAAAAGACTCAAATTACGGAAAATTTAATATACGAGGTGGGTGGGTGGGTGGGTGGGTATGGTGGGTGGGTGGGTATGGTAGGTGGGTCGGTATGGTGGGTGGGTCGGTGGGTATTGTGGGTTGGTGGTCTGAGGTTATATATGAATTTCTTGGCATCAGACTATATCGCGTGTGTGTGTGTCTGTGTGTGTGTGTGTGTGTCTGTGTGTGTGTCTGTGTGTGTGTGTGTCTGTGTGTGTGTGTGTGTGTGTGTGTGTGTGTGTGTGTGTGTGTGTGTGTGTGTGTGTGTGTGTGTGTGTTCGTGTGTGTGTGCGTGTTATATTAAAGACAGATGGTAGGAAGGGGTGCTGGAGATTTTCTGTGTGAGCAATACGTAACCGAACGAAGCTGA